AAAGTCAGATTATCGGTAAATGTAATAGTAACATATATGGTTATGATCATCCAATCAGAATGAAAGCCCGCTATGCTCCAAAACAAGGGGTCGTCTAAAGCGGGCAATTTCACGTGATCACTGCCAATCAAATTATAAAAACGAAAAACTCAAAACCTACCTCAGGTAAGTTAAGTAAAAATGTTGGGAAGGCAATTTTGCTTATATATAACACCTAAAACCTAACCTAACCTTAATATAAGATGACCCTAACCCTAAAGTTAATTGATAAATTATTAAATATAAGGTCACGTGAATTCGCCCCCGCTTTAGACGTCCCCCAAAACAATCTATATATTAACTAATCAACTAATTCTCTCAATCAATTTAACATAATTCTTACATACTACGAACGAATCAATAAAAAATCAAACAAATCGTTTTAAACTAACAATTAAATTTCATAAATCTTTTTTTATACATCTATAAAACTAATTTGAAAAAAAATTTTATTACATTTATTAATTTTTTTTAATTTATTGTATTCAAATCTACCGTAAGTAATAAAATTTTATTATAAAAAATTTAATTAACTTTTTTTTGACCAATAAAATCAAAAAACAATCATCAACATATACGTGACGTTACACACAACTACAATTACTTGGCCTATTCCTATTAAAATTTCGCTATAATAACCATACAACTTTATTATTAAGCAATTTAATCCTAATATTTAAACTCTAAACCTACTCAAAATCAAACTACACAACACCCGCATTTAGCATTATTACCATTACTCACTGCAACTGCAACCTTGCCAACGCGAGCCTTGTTTTTTTTTTTTAATTTGCATCTGATATCGATACGTATTGTGTTATTAAACCATATCAAAGTTTTAATAATCAACAAAGCAATAATAATTAAAATTTTCATAATTATACGTATATTAGGTTTTGTTATCTTTGAAGCAAATTATATGTATATAGCTAAGTTACTTGCGGATTCGTCAGTAAAATTTTGAGTGATCTTAAGCGAAATTTGGTAATTCCGGCCCAGCCGATTATGTAATTATCGATTAAAGATTAAACTATAGAAATCCTAGAGCACACCTATTTTAAGAACATGACCGTAGATAATCAGGAATTTATTGATCGATTGTGTTATCCCACGCGATTATTCTAATAATTTTATAATCTTTGTGTAATTTAGGATAGATGGCAATTAGATCTATTATCAAGTATAAATACTTGAAATGGCGGCAAGGGAATATTACTCTCTGCGATAAAAAAAAAACCAACAAAAAAATCCGTACGTACGTGAATGGTATTGCTACTCATTTACGTCATTAGATTCTTTTTAGATTCTTTCGTCATGACTTTTGTACATCAATTCGATAAATAGAATCAAAGATGCTGGTGAAATAAAATTATATAGACCATTATTGGTGAAATTGTAGTTGAATTGGTGAAATTAATTTCACCAGCATCTCTACATATTATGAATAACTTAAAAAATACAACTTCGCGTGAATTATCTTGAAAAGAACGAAAGCAACTGTCCTAATTTTAGAAAAATACGTTCACTTAATACTTTAGACATTCTAACTTATAATGGTCAAGTTCTTTCAACATACATTTAAATACGAGTAAGTTCAACAGTTATTAGGTGTTTATAGTATTTAATTGTTTCAAATTAAAATTTGACATTCGTAATGCCTAACTTCAGATTTGGATTGCTTGTAGATATAACTGGGATAGCGTGACTTTAGCTTTTTGGTTACGATATCCTAACCCTTTCGCCTCACACGTTGAAAGCGTTGACGTGATAGATAGGTATGTTGATCCGAAGACTGGTGTATTAAGGACCACAAGATTAATCTTGAAACGAGGTGTTTTGCCAAAATGGGGAAAGGGGGTTAGTAAAATAATTTGTGGATGAGGATTAAGAAGCCTTCATGTAATTACACATATAATTACTATAATTTTTTTTAATGTGTATTATATATCTATTTGTAGTTAATTAAAAAACCTGAAGCATATATTATTGAAGAATCGCTGATCAATCCAAAGACCCAAACGATGATTACACTTACGAAAAATATAACACATGCACGCCTAATGCAAGTTGAAGAGTGGCAAACTTTTCGAGTCGACCCTAATAATCGCGAATTCACTCAAGTTAAAACTGAAGCCAGGGTAATTAGTAATTTTGGATGGGGATTAACAGAACGAGTTGAAGGTTTTGGAATAAAGAAATTTGCAGATAGCGCCACAAAGGTAAAAGTCAATTTTATTTGTCGAAATAATTAATATTAATAAAACAATTCATTGATAAAGTTTATAAAATTATTAGAGTCGGAAGGGAATGTCTCATGTATTAGAGATGATTCGCGAGAAACAATTATTACGTGGTCGGGGATTTTTGAAAACTTAGGTTCATAATGTCATTGCATGATAATATTTTCGTTTCGTCTCTTTAACTTGTATATTTACGTGCACCCAAAAATGTCTAATTTTTTTTTCTTGCCAATTTGTTAAATAATGATGATTATTAAGAGCGAGATTGTCCCAAGATTTTCGGCACGTGATTTTTGATATTTACGTTGACCTTGCGTAATTCGACTTTTTTGTGTGATTCTATTTTTTTTTCGACTTTGCGTGATTCTATTTTTTTTCGACCTTGTGTGATTCTACGTGGGGTGATCAAAAAGTTTTGAGAACAAGCAAATAAATTTTTTATTTACGTGTAAAATATTAAACTAATGATTCCATTCTTTCGAAGTGGGCTCCGATCAATCACCGGCAATCATTTCACCGAACGCTCATTTAGCTGACATCACATAGGGTTAGGGTTAAGCATTTGATTAGTTGCAAGTATTATTTTTACTAAATTTCGGTGAAGTGATTGTCGGTGAAATAATACGGACCCTTTCGAAGTAATCCCATTAACTTCTATACAATGATTAAAATACTCCTCTTGTGATATGTTACCTACTATTGATTTTACAGCACGAGCAAGTTCTTGGACCCTTTCAACTCGTAACCCACAAAGTTCTTTTTTAATTTTTGGGAATAAAAAAAATCACAATAGTAAGGGAAGTAATATAACTCGTTCTTTATGAAGATAATCAGTAACAATTGTTTTGTGTGGTCTCGCATTATCGTAATGTAGCTAACGTCACGAACAGTATTTCTGTTACGAATTTTTTTAAAGTTATCAAATACATTTGGCAATATGAAGTTACTATAATAATAACCATTAATGGTTTGACCTTTTTTAACTACCATACTTATCAGAACTTCATTTATCGAAAAGAAAATACAAAAACATTTGCTCTTTACTACTTTTCGCTGTTCTTGGATTTGAGGATGATTTGCGCCTTTTTTTTATCCAAACTTTATTAGATTCTTTTGATGAAACAGTAAAAAAATGAAACCAAGCTTCGTCACCAGTAATAATATTTCGAAAACCATTATTGAAATATTTCAATAATTATTTTGAAATCTTTACGCATTGTTTCTTGTTTTCGTCAGTGAGTGTGTGGGGAACTCACTTGGAACATAACTTTTTTTAACAAAAAGCTTTTCATGCAAGATGTTTTCGATACTTCCGATTGAAATCGGAAAATATCACGAATGGTGATATGGGGATCATTATCTATAAGGTTTTTAATTATTTTTATATTTGATGTGATTGCTTCGCAAGGACGTTCAGACCGAGGTGCATCTTCAATCCTTGATTGTCCAGCATTGACTAATTCAATCCACTGATAAATAGCAGCTTTTGATAGTGCTTTATCTCCTTCAACATTAACCAACTCATCGTGAATTTCCGTTGCGCTTTTGCCATTTTCCCAACAAACCCAAATATAGTATCGTTGGTTTTCACGTGTACGTAGAATTTTTCATTGTCTATAAAGGTAAAATTCAAAAGATCATAACTTCATAATTGTCAAATTTATATGTTAAATTTTTTATTATTAATACAATTTTAGGATACAAATTTATTTTTTTGTTTCTCATGACATAAATTTTTAAAAATAACCCGACCGGCCGGCTTTTTTTAAAAAAATTATATATATAAAATTTTATAAAATTTTTTTTAAAAAAATTTTTTGAACCCCATCGACTATTAAAGTATATAAAAAAATTTTCTAAGTTTCCAAAATTTGACCTGGCCGAGTTATGAGAAACAATTAAATTTGTATGGCCTTACAAGATTTTAAAGATTTTATAGCATTTTCCAAATTTAGTTAGAACAAATAGTTATTAAAATAATGATGCAGTCTCAAAACTTTTTGAACATCCCACGTATTTTTTTTCGAACGATTACAACCGTACAATCAGCAAAACTAAGACAATGGCGAGAAATATTCCCTTTATTTCCCAAAACGAGGACGTCAACATGATGTTCCCTGATGAAATCAACAATAAAATTCGGCAGATCGGTACTAGAGTTAAAGTGTAATTCCAGAGGAAGCTGATAAAAAAGTATAGAGTATACAATTGAAATAAATTTCGTATAAAAAAAACGAACAAAGTTCTACGAGTCAGACACTGACCTCTATTTTTTTAGATGCAAGAAAATCATCAACCAATTTTTTTCCACTATTTACAATGTTTTCTGCTTCTTGTTCTACCTAACAAATTCCCAGTATAAATTCCTTTATTATTCAATTAAATCAATTAAGTCGAAATATAAAATCATGCCTGTTTTTTTTTTTGTTTCTCATTCTCTCCGTCCAGGATGTTTCCTAAAATTTATATTTATATGTACACGGATTAAATCATCACAATAAATTTGTTCCAAATCAAACGGTTCGGATGCATGAAACTTACGTGTAACCGCAGAATATTCAAACGGTACGCTCCAAGATAAGATGCCAATGCTTAATAATAATAATATACCATCATTCAGATCAATCAGATTTTCAAGAGCCCATGAAAGAGCATAGTTAGAATTTTCTGAACCATCGAGTGCTACTAAATATTTTTTTCCCATTTCTTTTTTTAAAAAGGTACAGCAAGTAATTATTGTTCGTTATATATTTGTAATAGATCGTTAGTGATCGGCAAATTTATATATGATTTCTTAATTAGGACAAATGGATTTTATATAACATCCGACATTTTAAACACATGTGAAGGTCAGCATGAAATAAAAAGACGTCATTGATTAATTCCGAAAAATAGAAAATTCAATGCCAAGCCACAAAATGTCATGTGTGGTCTCTTTAATGTTCAACAACGTAATCTTGGTCTTTTTATATCAATATTATCAACAAATTTGTATTGGTACGTACCCATTCATCATACGAGTGCATCTATTTGCGCAACAGATTATGTAAGGTCCGATGACTGTCTAATGCATGATCATGCATGTTCGATAATGATCATGTGAACTCATCCAATCAGAAGAGATCTAAAATCATCGCGTGAATTACATGTTTTGTGTGAAATAAATAAAATTTTAAATTTTTAACAATTGTTGAACTTATTGATTGATCAAGTTAAAATTTATTTTTTTCTATATACGTTAACATAAATTATATGTTAGTCAATTAATAAATTTAACTTGGATTTATATTACATTTTATTGCGAAAAGATATGTAAAACGTATTCTATTTTTGCATGGGAGGGTCTAAGATTATTTGTCCAATTAAAATAAGACATGTATGGCTAATAGAAACATAGATACTTGAAAAAATTAGTATACAAATACATTCATTCTTAAATTACTATATAATACGCATATTTTCTATTCATGTAATTTCTAAATTATTCTTATATTGACTAATCAAATAAAATACAAGCAGAAATTATAAATAAATTAAGATGTTCTGATGTAAATTTGATTATCGGCTGTGTCTAGAAGAATAAAATTACACTGAACCAACTTAAGAAAGATTACTATACTGATTTACATGTCTTCGTAAAGGAATGTAAATTAATATTCATGTAATTTGCACAATTTGTAAATTTCATAATTCAAAAAAAAAACGATTATTTGATTACGATTTTGATGTCAATATATTCATATGTATGTTATTATTACTGTACATATTTTATCAAGTTGCATTTTGTGAATCACGGCAAAAATTGTAATTAATTGACTTTGTGGCTGCACCACCAATTAATTAATTGGATTCAAATAATTGCAATTAATTGCTCTCACAATTAATTATTTGGTAGACTTGATTTAAACGTTCAGATTGATAATATTTTAAATCTCGCTGAGAATCAAAAATACAAGTCGTTAATGTTGTGAGAACTAAAAAATATAAGATGTTATACGAGGACCAATAATATATCCCAAAGTTAAAAGATCTGTGCCACAAACAGTCTCATCTATAAAACTAAAGCATCTAAAAAAAAGTAAACAAATAAAAGAAGTAAATAAATAAATAAAACTTCACTATGAATATTATACCTAATTCTCAAATTTTGAGAAAAAGTTTGACAATTTTGTAATATTAGTATAAATATAAAAAAAAATATAAATATTTATTGCGTTCTATTTCTATTCATTGTACCTTATTTCCAAACGTTCATTACGCCCTATTCTAATATTTATGCCTATTTCTAAATATTTACCCGTTTCCAAACATTCATTACGCATTGTTACCAAACATTCATTATATCACATTTCCAAATACGTATAATGCATTCCTTTCTAATTTTGCATCACTTCACTGCGCCCTTCAAATCCTTCATTGCACTGCTTCATCCAATTTTTATTGCGCCTTCTAATTTTCTATTGCACTGCTTCATCCAATTTTTTATTGCGCCTCCTTCTAATCTTTCATTGCACTGCTTCTTCTAATTTTTTATTGCGCCTTCTTCTAAT